GGGGGGGGGGTCGCGCGCGCCTGGGAGAAAGAGAGAGAGAGTGAGAGAGACGGACGATTAGGGTTCTAACACGCCCTCCGTGTAAGACTCTGTCTCTCTCACACCAGAGGAGGAGGACCATAACCCGAATGAGGATGTCCCAAGCGGGGTCAGCTGCCGAAATTGACATGTACAACGAACGGATTACCGTGTTTAGATCACCTTCCCCTCTGAATTACCTGGGGTTATCCCCAGATCACCTACCCCCTGGACAACCAGGGGTTTCCCCAGAATTCCTTGAGCATTGACTCCTCCGCATTTTAATTTGTACATTACCCCGAGTCCGCCTGGAAACTCTCCAGTTACTGGCCAGAGCCAGAGGATTAGTCGAAAGGTAGCATGGCACCCGGTACAACCCGAAACGGGAAAGCTCGCCTAAATTACAACAAATCAATATAGTCCTCAAAGACAAGATCACAATTCAAGTGACATCAAAATTACATATATGTTTTCTGTCCTTTGGGTTATAAGTGCCAAACTCTCATGAGCCGATCCCGTCGGTCAGGTCACGACCCCCCTACCCTTTCCCTCTGACTGCAAAAATAGTGATAATACTGAAATCGACATTTCCGCAGCTTTTTGTATCAGTTGCGCAACCCCGCGCGCTGACCAATGAATGTAGTGGGCGCTGGCGAGACGGAAAGTTCCCCGCCCTCCGTCAAACATTGTTGCCTTAGGACGGCTCGTTGTGGGGCAGAGTGTGCCGCACAAAGGGTCCACTTGGGGGACTTGGGGCCGCAGGGCCGCCGCCTGCCGCCGCCGCGAGGGCCAGGGCCGCCGGGGCTGCCAGGGACGCCAGGGCCGCCGGGCCAGGGGGGGACCGGCAGGCCGCCGCCGCCGGCCGCGGATGGGTCGCGAACGTTGTCGGCGACCATTATCCAATTGGCGCGACGCGACGCGCCAGGTTGACAACCCTGCAGCCGCCGGCGGCTCCGCCAAGCCGTACTACACGGCCAGCTCCGCGCGAGCGCGAGGCGAGCGCGCGGCAAGCGTGCAGGCGACACCGAGTATCGCGACAAGACACCCGAGACCCGACCCCGCCCCCCTCCCCCCTTTCGGGCGCCGCGGTAGTATGCAGGCGAAGCAGACATGCACTGCGAAGGAAGGAGGAAGCCGAGCACGTTTGCAGTCTCTTTGCGAATTATTCCATATTCATCTCCCGAGTACGGCTTACACGATGCAAAAGTTCGGGGTAAGAGGGAGGGACCCGGAGGGAGGAGAGGGGGGGATGGGGAGCACCGGGAGTTCAGGGGCCCCGCGCAACGGCCACCAAGGACCTCCCAAGGGCTTCAGCAGAGCGCAACGGCAACGGCCAATCTGGCCGACATCAGGGCCTGGGCACGGCCTCGACCAGCGAAGGGGAGTCCACGGCCCCGCCGCACCACGGCGACGGCCTCCCGGGGCACGGGGCAGGAGACGGGGCAACCCTAGGGGGCGAGAGGCGGGGGCGGACGGAACGGAGCGGCGCAGAGCGGTGCGGGGCAGAATGTGGGGGGCGGGGGCGGGGACGGGGAGGGCCCGGCTTAAACGACATGATTGCTGCCGGGCTGGAGGACTCCCGCGCCCTCCTGGGCCCCGCTGTCCACGGCGTGCCGGGGACGTGACGGAGGTCCGCGACAACAGCAACGGAGGGGGCGCGTGCGTGGCGTGCGCGGTGCGTGCGGTGCGTGCACCACGGTCCGTCGAGGTGCGTGCGCCCGCACAGACCTGCGCGCCTGCAGTCTGGTGCCCGAGAGGGGCCCAAGCGATCTGAAGAATAATCTGGCAGGTTTCTGCAGCTCATCTTCTTGTTCGCTGCAAAACCAGTTTAAGATTCAATTGGGTGCGACCGCCGCCGTCCCCTCTTCCCCTCCGCGCACCAAAAGCTCCCAAACAAGCTCAAGGTCGCGGCCGTGCACAGCAGGCATTGCTGGTCATTGCACGGCCGTGCCGTGCACGCCGTGCACATGGGGCACGCCAACCAGTCGGGTATACGACCCCCGCCGGACCGCGTGAGGGCTTGTCGCAAAGGATTTAACGCTCGTTAAAGAGTCAAGGCAAATAATATATCAAAGGATGTTTGCATTTCATTTATCAGTTTATTGAAAATACGATGCAAAATGACAGGAAATATGGCATCCACAGTTGTGTATGATTGTGTTTGCTACCCAGTCCAAAGGTATAGCAGAAACAAAAACAAAAAAGAAAAGAAAAGAAAGAAAACAAAGAAAAAGTTAGGTCACATCCTACATCTATAGAATATTGTATTTTACACATTTACATATTTGTAATTAACGGGCTCAGTGGGGGAAAACAATTTTTTTTTTCACAAAATCATATGTGATTGAAATGAGATCAGAATAGAACCACTACCACAAGGTTAATATGTTCAGAGAAGGTTCATGCAAAATAATGTGCAATAGTGTGCTTTGCTTACCATGATATGGTATTACAGAAAAAAGAAATGATTAAGGTAGCATTTTCTCATCACAAAGTCTTTGAACTCTGCTCAGCAAAACAGTTGAGTCTTTTGATCAACAGAGCATCTAAATGAGGCTTGTTTTTTTAGGAAAAGGAAAAGGTAATTGTGCTCTAATTACTCTAAAGAAAATTTTCTAAGGAAAAAAAAATACATATTTACATAAAATATTGGCTACGAAATAAATCACATGTGTTCAAGACATTTCTTAAGGGATAACCTCATCACACAACAAAAGAGAGACCACAATTAAAAAAGAGGAAATAAAATTTAAAATTCAAGTCCAGCCCCTCACAATATCATACCATTCAACCAAGAACCAAGCTGTCAAGGTCTGCCCAGTAAAGCAAAATGAAGAAAGACAGCAAAGTAAAAATAAATAAATTTAAGTATTATTGAATGCATGGCCTGTTACAACTTTTGAAAGTTCATCATCACGAAGGATTACAAGATTCGTAAATATGGGCCATGGAGTATAAATCTGGGCCTCGGTGAGTCCTATCAGAAAATACAACACATGGGCTGAATGAAATTTTAAATTACACAAATTGCTTCATGGCACACAGGAGAAAAACTTAATTATTACAGTAACTTCAAAGTACACTGCAATATATTTCTCTAGAAATACAAAAATGTCATAACCTCAGAAGGAAATGAAATAACACTGCTGGTATTTGTTCAATATTCAGTATTAACAAATACTTAAAGGTTTGAATTCCCAGTTAAAATTCAAACACATTGAGTTCTATCATATGAAACATGAGAAGAAGAAATAAATTACAGCAATAAGACATTTTAAAGGAAAAATACCCATTGAACGCTTACTAAACTAGACTTAAAAGTACTGACTATGTGCTTGTTATTGAAATAAGCATACTCCTCTAGTTGATTAGTGTAGAGCAAAAAGCACTGGTTAGGCAGTTGAAAACTAAGCCAACATTACCATTACCAGGTTGAAAGACTTAATGCTACCGTAACTGATTCCCAGGGTGACTTTAAAGCATACAGTAGATTAACAATTCAATGAGTCCCACTTCAGTTAGGCAATAAGATAAGCTTCAAGCAAGAGTTGACCTTTCTGGACATATGAGAGAAATGGCTTTACAACCATGAAAGCCAAGCATTATGGGATCTTGGTAACCATAAGCTTAAACCTCCACTAATAAAAAGAAAGAAGGTAAGGGAGGCAGATAAAGATGTCCACATTTCTTCAAAATTCAGTTTGCAGAACCTTTGGTTTGATTAGAGGCACTCATATAGAAGAATCTCATTTCTGACTATGTGACACTAATGTGTCTTTAAGACAAACGATAAAAATATACATTTAAAAAAAAGACCAGCTTTGGTTTGCACTGTGCATGCTTGCTACTCCTGAACAATTCTCAGATATTCAAATCTGAAATGACAACCAAATAAAATTCCCCAGTAATAAGAAGCAAGAAACCAAATTGGTTTTCATCAAAGCTACATGAGGCATGGTCTCCGCCTTGCGCTTGAAGAGCACTCTGCGCCATTTGGCACTATTAATTTTACAGACACTGGCACAAGCGTAAGTAGAAGAAACCCAAATTAGTGTTGTCCAATGTTAGCTCCAATGACATATGGAGGCAAAATAATGTTTGGGATGCCCCACAGCAAAATACTGAGACAAGGAATACACTTCCTGCATGAGTAATTACAGTAGGAAAACACTAAATGCAACCAGATAACACATAAGATTACACACAGCAGTGAACTTTACATCAAAACACAAATATGTAGGTCTAGGTCAGAGAAGATGGTCCTTTCAAATATGTGGTATGCTAAAAACGAGGAGATAGACCTAAAATAACTACAAGTCATTTGTGCATTGCATATCTTATCTAAGTAATATCAAAGATACACTTGAGCAAGTAATTAGTAATTTCGTTTAAAGGAGGAAAAAATACTGGAGCAAACCATACATAATTGAATTATTGATACAAGTGTAAAAAAATAAAAAAAAGCTGAGTGAAAGCTGAATGAATCCCCTCCACAACTGAAAAAAATGCACATTAACCACTGCTAAAAAGTAACACATTGATGAGTGTTATTTACTGATGTTTGGAAAACAAATTTAAAAAGTATAACTGAAATCGGCAATAGAGAACATTAAAAAAAAATCAGCAAAGGATATTCAAAAATAAAATTTTATATTCAAAGTCTAAATAAACGCAGAGCAGGACCTAGGTGGCGGTGTTAATAACGTATCAATGCCGGGATACATGGGGCAAATTACAGGTGGAAGCCGCCTCAGCATTGATGTTTACCAAGCCTTTCGTGCTGTGGAATATTTCACCTTTGCTATAGCTAAAATACAGATGGAAACCGATGGAAAATAAATTGGATTTTTACTTTGCATGAATAAAGAGTGATAAATTTTTTTTATCAAAATTATTCCATTTTGTTTATGGATACCAGTGGAAGCAACGACCCAAGGGAAGACTTAGTACATTCATTACCTCCTACTTCCATTCGGCACCAATATGAGAGTGAATACAGTTGAAGGAACTGATATTACTTTCACATAAAACACAAACCAAACAACAGTTCATCCTTATATGTAATCCAAAGTTTAACATTCTCCATGGGATTTTGAGTAGGAATGAGTCCTGATTCAAAAGAATGCAGGGAGGCGTGCAGGGATCACAGTCACAACAGGGAATAGCGAGGGCGTCCTGTGTAAAAGCTCACTACTAGGATAATACAGAACTACTTTGAAAAAGAAAAAAAAAGTACTAGCATTTTGTGTTTTTAGATTTGGTGAAAACAAAATTCTTTTCACTTGAGCAGTACACAATTTATCAAATATTGATAATCTACAATTAGGTTATCTCTGCTATGAACATTATGAACAAGTAGTAAATGTCAACAGTTTTTCTTCAAATACAAAGGGGAATACAGGTTTCCTTCTATTCCTAATAACTGAAAACAAAATGAGCTTACCATGATTGAAAGAGTAAACTACTTGGGCCAACCCAGGACAAACTTAGCTATCAACTCATACTTTTTTTTTGGAGGGGGGTAATCAACGCATGGCTTTTACTTAAAATACTAGATAAACATACTTCAAATTTCTCTCACAATTAAAAGAAGCAACATTAAGTCTTTTCTGTTCCATAAACCTAAATGTAAAGAAATGCATGTGTCAGATATAATACTGTAGGGAAGTGAGCACTAAACTACTGGAAAAACAGCTAAAGCAAACAAAGATACAAGGTGAAAAAGAGAGGAAACCAATCAAGTGGAGTGTTGAGAAATCTTACCCAAGGAATATCCACAGCCACAATATTACAGCATTGCAAAAGTCAGTCAAGGCTTATGCTTGCATTGTTCAGAAAGCACTCATCATAAAAACTGCACTTAAACAGAGCAGTGTTGAATTCATTGAAGCACAAAGGTTTCCTTCTCATCCAGAAATAAAGATTCAAAAATTGAAACTAGAAAGTAATAGTTCATCCAGTGTGGCCATATCATGTTATTTTCATAACCATTGCAATGCACAAATTAGAGTACATTGATAAAATGGTTACATCCATTCATACATAAGTAGGTAGGTCATTGATTATATACATACAAATCATTAACAAATGCGCAAAAATAACCATCCATAAATAATATGTACAGATTTTGCAAATAAAATTCATTTCTCCCTCAAATGACTCACTACACTTTACAAAGCATAAATAATATAAAATAATATTTTCCAACATATAATTTCTGTACGATAAAACAAATAGGAAGAACCTGTTCCACTCAGGTGTAGCCTGAACACATGCAAGAAGCTGACACACACACGCAAACTGCTTGAAAAGCACAAGTCAATGCATTAAAATTTTCTATGCTTGATTCCCTCAAGCACTGTCAAGCTCACTCTACAAAGAACAGCAAACTCAAGGAAGATTTTAAAAAAACCAAAAACATTTTACAACTTCTATTGCAAATCATACCAACATTTGATAAAACAATCTAAGGCCATACATTTTTTTAAAAATAAGCACTGGAGTGATAATACTGACAACAAACAAGCCATAAATGACGGAAAGGAAATATTGAGATAAAAATACCCACGGATTAAAAACACAAAGGAAGTGGATAACTGCTCTTTTTAGTTCCTTTTGAGCAAAGCCATTTGGATGCTCATGACCAAGCACAATTTTAATACTTTAACAAGACAAATGCTAACTCCAAAATGATGAAGATAACACACTGAGCACAAATGTTCAAATTCACTCTTAAGTAGAAAAAAAAATCCCCCTTAAAATACATCATATGGTCCCAAAAGGAAAAAACACCAGAAATCTGAAGGAGAAAGAGCTTGATAACACCCAAGGGAACATTGAAGAAATATCGTTAACTAATAAACAAAAATAAGAATGATTATTTATAAATATGTATACATAAGTAGACATTTAAAATTACATATAACCTATGTATACATAAATATAACATGTATTATAATCTTAGCTGGATGAGAGGTACTAATGATAACACAGCAACACTCAAACCATGTAACACAGTCTATACACAACGGTACATAGGTACCCCCACTGCTATGAACGAAGTGGCCGAGTTTTATATGGCAGGTTCTCCCTCCAGCAAGCGGTAAAACAAGTAAATGCTTTCCTAGTAGATATTAGGAAATTCTTTGATCATAACTCTAGCGACATATTCCTTCCAGCATTAATCACAATACATAATAAAAGATACACTACCATACCTGATAATAAGATTCGGAACTCGCACCCAAATACACATAAAACATTGAAGAAAATGTTGCAGACAGACTTCTCAAAACCATTCATATTAGATATGAAACATATAAAATTGTTTGTGTACCATTTATCAGCCTAAGAGCAACACAAAACTTCAGCAGGTTCAGTCGATGCTTTGGCAAGTATCCCACAGCATTACACCCATTACCGTCTTGACAACTCTTGTTTGATAACTGTAAGACAGAGCAGAAGTCACAAATATAGTTCAATCAAAAATACACTAATTTTTATGTTCAAAACAGGAAGCTTACCATTTATCAGGTCTTGTTTCAAACGTGACATTTCTTGACGCATTTCCCGAATTATCTCTTGTTTCAGAGCATCCAAATCTCCAATTGAGCCTCCATTGGCATCTCCGCTGTTCAAGCCATTAACTTTGGGCACGAGGTTTTCCTCTGACGAAGAACCAAAGCGTTTACGCCCTGGTTTCGGTGATTCTCCACCATTAGCAAGTTTGCCACCACTATTCTTGTCCCACTGCTTCTTATCTTGATCATCCTGTTAAAGAAACAAGGAAAATTTGAGCTTGTAAAATCCACAATAGTCAACTGGCATACTAAAACAAGTAGAAAGTCTGGACAATTTACTCACCACGGCAGGGTCCGGTTCTTTCTTTTCACAAGCAGCCCGTCTCCTAGCAAGAGTCTTGGCCATTTCATCCATCATGCTTGCCATGCCCATGGGGCTACGGCCTAGGGTGCCATAGTTACTTCCTCCACTACTTGTACTCGAGCCACTGTTTTCAGCAGGTTGCTGGAAAAGGTAAGAGTAATCCAATATTAATGTGAAGTTCATCCGACACATGACTGTTCCAAGTGAATAATACCCACTTTACTGGCGTTGTTGTTGGCCCTCTTAAGGCGTGCACTCTGGAGCTGGGCCGCGAGCGAACCGGCTTCTTGTCCGTCAGAGCTCGAGGATCGTGACATGTTGGACATGGGAGGCGGGGGCGGTGGCGGCGCCCCACCCCCCATCATAGGGGGCGCGGGGGCTGGC